ATTTGAAAGATGATGGAGAGTATTGCGCTGGTCCAGTCTTGTTGAACCATACTGCACCGTGTTTCGTACTGATTCTTGCCGCTTGTTCGAGAGTCGCAACGCGTCGAAATGGTCACTGGCCGCAAAGAAATAGTGGCAAGACAATGAAAGCAATGACAAAACCAACATCATCAGCTTTCCAGGAAGATGTGCCCATGGCTGGGAACGAGTCTGCCAACGAAAGTGACGTGCCTCCCCTAGTTGGAACGACGTGCAAAGAAGGCGTTTGAGCCGCCTGTGCCCATTCGCTTCGCGAAAGCACTGTGACGCAAGGTGCAGGCATGCAATTTCGAAGCAGGTCTGATAGGAGGGATTGGAAATGTAGCGGCTGAGGCCTGGAACCAGACAGAACCTCACAATGGAGAAGCTGGCAATGCCTCGGATGCATTGGAAGATGACAATGAGTCCGTCGTGCTGGATGGCAATCTGTCCAATAGGAACCCCGTCTCAGTTAAGTTTCTTTCCGTAGAAGTTGCACGAAATGTGTGTTGCCAGCATATCGGAGGACCGCCGAGAACTTGGCAGACGTGTCGAACAGCAGCCGCTTGAATGCAGTGCTTCCGTCACAGCTGCGCATGCCTTCGACGAGTGACTAGTCATTCCCTGCACCGGCTTGGCCCACCTGGTGCACGCAAGGCAATGGCTCCTGGACTCTGCCAGTCACTTGGTGAGCAATTGGAAGTTCCAAGCTAATGTGATGTTAGAGATCTTTGCGTTGATCCAATCTTGAAGCGCAATGCTATCTTCTGCACCAATTGGACTGCCCCTGAGCATGGAAGTCATGTCAGATGAGCCTCGAGCAGCACTGCTGCAGGAAGGCGTGCCCATCATGGGGAACAAGTCCGCCAACGATAGCAATGTCCCGTCCTCGACTGTTCATGTTCAGGTATCTGTGCGCAAGTTCGTTGCTGCTTTGTCAGCAGGGGCGTGCTGAATATGTTCGGCTGAGGCCTGGAACGAGACCCAAGTTCCCATCAACATCTCCGTTGTCACGGAGGCCATCAACGTCTCGGAAGATCTGCTGGATGATGACAACGAGTCCACCGAGCTGGATGGCAACCTGTCAGATGCGAAGCTCGCCTCAGTTAGTTTGAACCGAGTGTTGCCCAAGGGCGGCTGCCGAGCAGTGAAGTGAAGCTTGCCGTAGATATCAAGGGGAACGTTGATCAAAATGCATCAATGCATCCAGTCGAGGACCGAAGAGAACGTGTCGGCGGTGCCGAACAACAGCGGCTTGGCTCCTTCGAGACGTGGGTCTGAGCACAAGATTATCGAATACGGTCAGCGGGCAGCAGCAGCAGCAGCAGCTGTTCCTTCGCGTGTCGGCTGCTGAAAAGTGGCCATCTTTCGTGTAAGTGTATGTGCATTTCTGTAGATTTAAAGACTTCGTCCCGCGTTGAGTATACTTGTGTCTGTGACTCTCGTCCTCCGGTCGGTGCACGCCAGGCCATGACCGCTGGATTCTACCAGTGACGTGATTCGCATTCAGAAGCAAGTTATCCATGGATGCTCATCTTTGCAGTGCGGCCTAAGAGGACGAATGTGAAGTATGACAATATGACAATATGTGTGTATATTTGCCAGATGCTGGAGAGTATTGCATTGATCCAGTTTTGTTGAATCTTACTGCGCTGTCGTTTCGTACTCTTTCCTGCCGCTTGATCGAGAGCGAAACATGTCGAAATGGTCACCGGCCGCAAAGAAATAGTGGCAAGACAATGGAAGCAATGACAAAGTCAACATCATCAGCTTTCCAGGAAGATGTGCCCATGGCTGGGAACGAGTCTGCCAACGAAAGTGACGTGCCTCCCCTAGCTGGAACGACGTGCAAAGAAGGCGTTTGAGCCGCCTGTGCGAGACATGGTGCTTTGTTCCCCCATTCGCTTCGCGAAAGCACTGTGACGCAAGGTGCAGGCATGCAATTTCGCAGCAGGTCTGCTAGGTGGGATTAGGATAAATGTAGCGGAATGTAGCGGCTGAGGCCTGGAACCAGACAGAACTTTACAGTGGAGAAGCCGGCAATGCCTCGGACGCACTGGAAGATGACAATGAATCCGTCGCGCTGGATGGGAACCTGTCCGATGGGAACCCCGTCGCAGTTTAGCTTTGCGCGTATATGTGGAAGTAGACCAGTGCGGCTTGTTCTGTTCTCGAGAGCTTGCACCAGACATATGTTGTCAACATATCGGAGGACCGCTGAGAACTTGGCAGAAGTGTCGAACAGCAGCCGCTTGAATGCAGGGCTTCTGGCACAGCTTCGCATGCCTTCGACAAATGACCTAGTCATTCCCTGTGCAGAAATTGCACCGGCTTGGCCCACCTGGTGCACGCAAGGCAATGGCTCCTGGACTCTGCCAGTCACTTGGTGCGCAGCTGGAGGAGGTTGATCCATGGTTGCCCCGAACTTTCGGCACGGTTCAGGAGATAGGAAATACACAACTGACATAACTAGTTTTGCCAGATGTTGGCAACCATTGCTTTGATCCAGTTTTGAAGCGCACTGCTGACTTCCGTGCCAATTGGGCTGCGCCTGAGCATGCAAGCCCAAGAGGAGTATGAGCAATTATGAGCCTTGAGAAGCACTGCTGCAGGAAGGCGTCCCCATCATGGGGAACAAGTCCGCCAACGATAGCAATGTCCCGTCCTCGAATGTTCATGTTCAGGTATCTGTGCGCAAGTTCGTTGCTGCTTTGTCAGCAGGGGCGTACGGCGTACTGAGTATGTTCGGCTGAGGCCTGGAACGAGACCGAAGTTCCCATCAACATCTCCGTTGTCACGGAGGCCATCAACGTCTCGGAAGATCTGCTGGATGATGACAACGAGTCCACCGAGCTGGATGGCAACCTGTCAGATGCGAAGCTCGCCTCAGT